TGGCGGCTGTCCCCAGCAGATAGAACTGGCTGGGGGATTCTGTTAGGGTTAATTGGGAATGTCCCGCTTGCCCTGACCTTAGTAGAACCATGTGGAAGCCTGTCCCCTGGAGCAGGTTCTTGTGCTGGCTGGAAAGCCTAGGGCCTGTAAAATATTTATCAGGTTTTACTGTGCTCCACAGGGTGGCTCAGTGTCCTTCACTGCGGCGGAATGTGGAGCTCTCCTCTCCTCCCCAGCTGACCCTATTTATAGTGTTAAATGTGGGCAGGTCGGGACCAGGCTCCAGGAAAACCAGAGAGAGAGAGAACAGGAATGTGTGTAATGTGGGACGGTTCTGCTTGCACATGGCTCTGCACAGACCCTGGCAGCTCCTTGCACAGGGGCTACTTGCACCCCCAGCAGGAGGGGACTGGCACTGACCCATATATCTGGCCAGAGACTTGGCCTTATCAGGTATTTTTCAGGCTTCAGCACTTGTGGTGGCACCATGGCTGTGAAAGAGATGCTGACTAGATGAGAAGAGGAACAGAGATACAGCACAGTCTGGAGAGGGTGGAGCTGGAGTTCTTAAGTCCTACCACTATCTGGAGTCATGTAGGCAGGGAGAGGGGCTGGAAACGGCTCAGCCAGGAGAGAAACCGTTGCTATGTCCTGTTGTGGAGGGATGGGAGCTGCAGCTAGGGGCAGGAGTGGTTCTTACCTTTGTTCTCTGTCTTGAGCTCCTCATGAAGCAGGTCGTTCTGCCGGTTGCCAAGGACAAAGGCCAGGAAGGAGAGGATGAGGGCGTTGAGGATGCCGATGATGGCAAGGATGTAGGCCCAGCGCACAGAACAATCGCCCAACGAGTACTTCCCTGTCTTCTCCCCGCACATGTCCCTGACAGTCTCTGCATCCCAGCCATCTGGAAATATCATGCAGCCGAGCACCAGGCAGAGTGCTGGACAAGGAAAGAGGGATACAGGGACCGGAGGGGGAGAGGAGGGTGGGGCAGGAGAGAGAGAACAGAAATTTGATAATAGCAGGCGCTTCAATCTAGCAGACAAGAATACAACGAGATCCAACAGCTGGAAGTTGAAGCTAGATACCCTCAGACTTGAAATCACTTTTTTTTTTTTTTAAACAATGAGAATAATTAACCACTGAACAACTCACCAAGGGAAGTGGTGGATTCTCCAGCAATGGCAATTTTCAAATCAAGATGGGATTTTTTTCTTAAAAGATACAATGTAGTTCAAGCCCAGCTATTGGACTTGAAGCAGGAATTCATTCAGGGCAGTCCTCTGGCCAGTATTATGCAGAAGGTCAGATTAGATGTTCACCAGCATCCTCTGGCCTTAAAATCTATGCATCTCAACACTCTTCGACTATTAGCCAACAGCTGTGAAACTGGCTAGTAAAGTGTCTCATCCCCTTCTAGTGGGTGATCCACATAGATGGTATCAGCCTGGAGCTGCTAGCCCTTACTCCATTAGCCCAAGTGGTAGGGGATGTGCTACGGATCGAAAGCTTCCAACCCTGCTGATGATCCCTGTGGGAGTCAATAGGGTTCTACACGATGGGATCTCTGGGTGTATATTTTTAGTTTGCTTTCCTAAAAACCTAGGAAATTATACTTTAAAAATTATATTAAAAGAATGCTATTGTGGTTGCAAAGTCAAGCACTCAAAAGTTAGGAAATGCCAGAGGTAAGGTTTTCTGTCCAACCTTAATTTGGCCCCTTGTGCATATGCTTTATGATACAGTCTTTAATTACATGATCACAGGACCTCTGCCTCATTCAGTGCAGAGGATGGCCCGTGGTCACTGAAGTGCTAGCCAATATCTCTTTATCATTCTTATTCAATTCATGACTAAATCAGCAGGTCCAGATAACTTGCATTCTGGTGTTTTAAAAGAGCTACCTGGACTGTTAATGTCTTGGAACACTGGGTAAATCCCAGAAGAAAGCTAATGTAGTACCAATATTTAAAAAGGGCAAAAAGGATGAGCAGGGTAATTGATTATTTCTGTCAGCCTGAAATCAATCTCTGGCAAGATCAAAATGGAGAGGCTGATACGGGACTGAATGAATAAAGAATTAAAGGAAGGTGATATAACTAATGCCAGTCAACATGGCTTTATGAAAAACATCCTGTCAAACTTACTTGATATCTCTTTTTAGTAAGATGACAAGTTTGGTTGATAAAGTGTCAATGTAACAAACTTAGACTGCTGTAAGGTGTTTGACTTGGTACCACACAACATTTTGATTAAAAAAAATCTAGAACAATATAGAAGTAACATGGCACGTATTAAATGGATTAAAAGCTTGGTAACTGATAGGTTTTAACTGCAAGCAAGGAATGATCATTACAGCTACGTTTTAGTCACTGGTGTTTTTAGTAAAAGTCATGAACAGGTCACAGACAGTAAACAACAATTCACGGCCCATGACCCATCCATGACTTGTGCTATATACCCCGACTAAAACTTGGGTGCTCTGGGGCAAGGGGTGACCCGGGACCCCTGCTGGTGCTGGTGGGAGTGGAGGGGGCTGTCCTAGGAATTATTTTGTGGACGTTCTATGGTCTTTGTTATACAGGACATCAGGCTGCCGCTAGGTCATCACAATGGTCCCTTCTGGCCTTGGAATCTAAGAATGTGTGGCCTCAGACCTTATTTACTCCCCACTATTTAAACACTGCATTGAATATGGAATTACTGATTTCCTCATGGACATTTCTATGGTGCTTCTCAGCACAGGATCTGAGACCTTCACATATTTGAATGAATGTATCATCCCAAGTTGCCCAGGAGGTAGGGAGGTATTGGCCCAAAGATTAAGGATACAGTTATCAAGTATCGACTGAGTTAGGCTGCCCAATTTGAAATGGCTGGACTTGATTTTTCAGACTACTTAGCGTTCTGTGTAGCACTTCATAGATTAGAGCGGCACTCCCAGTGACTTCAGGTGCAGCTGAGCGCTCAGCACTTCTGCCAATCAGATTTCAGGGGCCTCAAGTTTAGTCCCCCAGAAAATGAATCGTATGTAATCAGTGGCCACCTGTGGAGAGTTCGTTAGCAATCGTTAGAGGCTGGCTCCTGAGTTGAAGCAGGAAGATTTCCTAGCACTTCCCTAGCTCCTGTTTGCTGGTCGGTATCTGGAACAGGTGGCTCCCTGCTGGTGGTGATGGTTTGGGCGAAACCGAGGTGACTTTACCCTGGATTTCTGGCTTTGGGTGTTCTCTCTGAATCTGCTTCCAGAGTTTAGGCCTGATCTGGCTATCTAGTAACTTATCTAGCCCCGTCACCAACATATCTAAGGGCACGTCTTCACTACCCGCCGATCCGGCGGTAGCAATCGGTCTATCGGGGATCGACTTACCGCGTCTAGTGAAGACGCGATAAAATCGATCCCTGATGGCTCTACCGTCGACTCCGGAAATCCACCGCGGCAAGAGGCGGTAGCGGAGTTGACGGCGGCGCGGCAGCGGTCGACTTGCCGCCGTCCTCACAGCCAGGTAAGTCGACCTAAAATACGCCACGTAGCTGAAGTTGCGTATCTTAGGTCGACCCCCCGCTGTAGTGTATCACTGAGATGAGGAGAGGGGCAGAGTGGCCTGTACCTTCACCTGTTACCAGCTCAGTGCATTTTGTTAGGTTGCTTTTCGTCCCTCGTTTGCACACTGTGTAAGAGCTGTCAGTTTGCTGGGCTGTCAAGGACCCTGCCACACCTACCTACCCTGGGAGAAGAGAGAGGAGCAGGGCTGACCAGATGGATTTTAAAATTGCAGTTGAAATGCTTGTGAGTCAGGCACAGACAGATTTGTGAATCACCAGTTCTTTCCTTAGAGGAGAAGTGTTGGAGGACATGCACACAGCTGTGAGAGATTCGAGGAGGAGGATGCAAATGTCCCAGCCTGGGCAGAGGAGGGAAGCAATTTCTGATTCTGGACTGACCAGGAATGAAAGCAAAGGGAGGTAGGGGACCCCTAAGTTCAGTGTCTGAGGAGTACCTTGCACTAGGCTTCACCCATCACAGATGCAAAAAGAAGGTGCAGGAAGGATGAGCTATCACAGGCGGACCTCCATAGGGTATCATTCCAGGTGCCTGGCAAAAGGGAATTCTCCTCCCATATAAGTAATGTATAAAAAGAGAGCTCCCTGTGACACCAGCTGTGAGTGCTCAGTACTTCTGAAAATCAGAGCCCAGGGTCTCAGGTTGGGCCCCCAGAAAATGAGGAACACGCAATTAATCTTTTCACTAAGTGACTTGTGAAGCAACACACAGGCACCCTGTGGCAGAGGCAGGGATAGATTGCAATTCTTCAGGGTGGCATTCATCTGCTTAAGCTACAAGTCCATTCTTTTTCATCCTGCCATCCCCTGCCTCATTCACTACACACCTTCTGACGTCTGGAACAAATGAGGCAGGGGCCCTACAAACATCTAAGCCTGGCTTCGTGAGAAGGAGTTGAATTCACAGACTTGGTGAGGCTGAGCTGCTCACAACACTTCAGTCTACAGCCAGCGGACGTGACAGAGAAGTGCTCAGAGTGAAATGCGAGTGTGAGGGACTTGTGAGGGCTGTGAAGGGAACTGGCAGGACTGCGGGAGAGGCTGGGAGAAGCAGTCAGCCTAATGCGGGGCAGTGCTAGACTCCGGTTGATGAGGTGCCCATGCTGCACCTTGCACCAAGCCACTGCAGAAATGGCCACAGTCACTTTAGGCTCTTGTGTTAATGCAGGGGTTCTCAAACTGGGGGTCGGGAGGTTATTACATGGGGGGTCACGAGCTGTCAGCCTCCACCCTAAACCCTGCTTTGCCTCCAGCATTTATAATGGTGTTAAATATGTAAAAAAGTGTTTTTAATTTATAAGGGGGGTCGCATTCAGAGGCTTGCTGTGTGAAAGGGGTCACCAGTACAAAAGTTTGAGAACCACTGTGTTAATGTATGTTTTTAATTGGCCTCAATTGGTGACTGTGATCTAGCAATGCTCTTCTTCTCCCTTCAGGCTTTTACACGGCTGCCATGGGATCCAAGCTTCCTGCAGGGTTGGGAGTGGCATCAATCTTTGTGGTTCCTTCCCGGGAAGGAGAGCCGCTATGTGAGTATTTAATGTTTGGTTTGTCTCTGCTGCTGTCTAGGAGAAAGAGGTGTTGTCAGAGCCTGGGAGGGAACCAGAGTGTCCCACGCTAACTCTGGCTTTCAAGCCTCTTCCCTATCTGTAAAATGGGGTGATGATCCTGACCCCTGCTGGGATGATGATGGCTAATTAATGTTTATAAAACTCTGTGGCGCTTAAAAATGCCTCAATAGTAAATTAGACTGAGTTCTCCATTACCAGCATGAAGGGAGGTGCTAGGGTGGGAGAGGAGGACAGATGATTGTTACGATTCGGGGTAACTGCACCTGTATTCCCCTTCACCACGGGCACCCACTCTAGGTTCCCAGCTCCCAGCTGTTGGGCGGAGACTTGTGTCTCACTCATCCCGACCAGGGATTTTTAAGGGTACACAGCTCCCTGCCTTCCAGTGTGATATCCACAGCGAGACAGACTGCAGGGGCTGGTCTCTTTAGGCACTTTGCTTTCTCTCCAAGGACTATGACCAGTGTATTTCCAGCAGTTACAAGTTATCACACAGCTTCTTCTAAGCAAGAACATTTATTCTTGGGATAAAAGTGGTACAGGAAAAAAAAACATATTAAAGAAATATAAGAACCTGCCCACGTACTAAAAAGCTTACCAGAGGTCCCCCCCCAACTCCAACCTAAGGCTCTAGTAGGGTTTAGTCCTTCAAACCCCACAAATGGGTTTTCCCCACGGTTACATGTTCATCCATCTTAGAACCAGAACCAGAACAGAGACTGGGCAGAGAAGCCGTCTCTTTATACTGTTTGGGCTTCTGATCTTGGCCTCCTGTAACAGGTAATCAGCACACTACGGCCCTCTCCCCAGGACATAGCTTCAAAGGGCTGTGTTTTTCCATAACTGGAGTTGGGGAATTTGCATTAGCCTCTCCCTAGGGAATTTGCCTGGAAAGCCACTTAAAGACTAGTTATCCCAAAAGTCCATACTTTTCTGGCATATTTTTAATATAGTCTTTTGAACTCCCAGGTGTTACAGCAATTTTCTGCAATATCCTTGAATCTGTCACAGTGGTGACTGGGTAGCACGCAAGGTGAGAGCTGATGGGGGCAGAAGGGAAATCCATCGTCTGCACTGGGGTGAGTTGCAGGGGCATTGGCCGCAGGTCTGCGCTCTGCCCGCTGCTGGGGGAGAGTCTGGCGTGCTCCTCGAGGAGTGTTTTGCCTGACTGTGTGCATGTACCTGGATGGCACTGTCTGCACAGGTTTTCTAAGGCCCAGGGTACCTGCTGGCCTGTGTGTATCTCTAGCCCATCCTGTGCTCTCTGGGTGAGTAAGGGTATGTCTACGCTGCAATGTGGGCTCAGGCTTGAGCCCAAAGCCCCCTTCCATCTACACACAATTTTGTCTGAGTCAGGCCAGTAAATCGCCCAGGCCCCAGGACCCAGCAAGAGCATGGGTGTGTTTGAGCCCAACTCTGTGACTTGGGTCCAAACTCCATTGTTTTGCTGTGTGGGCTCAGCTCAGGTCTGGGTCTCCCAGACTCATGTCCTGAGAGGCTGCCAATGCTATGCCACAATTCCATGGGGAATTGTCCTTTCAATCCCAAGACTAGCCAATCAAACCAGCAGAGTTGCTTCTGTTTCCTGGGAGTCAAGTACAGCTGTTTGGGTTTGAAACCTTACATTTATTTATTCTGACCACTGAGCTACAAACAGAGTGAACTTTCTTGTGGGTTTGCAGTGGTCACTGACAAGAAGTCGTCGGTTGCCAAGCACACTGCTCCCTGGTCACATGATCACAGCCAGCTTTTTGGTAAAACTGGTGCGAGGTGAGCAAAACGTTCGACTTCAGTAAGAGTTCCAAGAATGACCATGCGTACCCAGAAATACTGAAGAAGCTGGCAATGTTGGGGATTCACTGGACTGGAGACCTGGTCAACCGGGATGGCAACTTTCTCAGCCCCAGATCCAGTCTAGGACTGGAGAAGAGCCAGCAGATGCCTGATCAGGCTAGCAAAATGATTCTGGTGCTCACACCAATCTGCAAGGAGGCTTTAATGCCAGAGCAGCTGCAGTGCATCCTGGATCCGTACCTAGAGAAGCTATTTGATGAGCCCCTGGAGGAGCAACCCGCCATGGTGCTGACAGCAGACATAGCCCTGGACCCTGGTCAGTTTCTGGATTCATTTTGTGGTTGTTAATATAGGGGGATGGGAAGTATTTCTGTTTTACGACCCAAATAAAAATGTATTGCAAGCTGTGGTTAGCAGCGTGTATACACTGAGGGCAGATTGCATGCTTGCTCCTTGGCATTACATGGCCACCACATGGAACGCAGAAGAGACTGGGAAGCACAAACAGTGAAACAAACATTTCACATTAAATTTTTACTTGATACTCGCACATGCCTCCAGAGATGTCTGTGCCAAGGTGTTAAGAGTAAGAACCTTATAAGGCCTTCCCTTTTAGTATGCTGCTCTGTACAAATCAGCCACACCACAGCATAACAAACTGTCTGTAAACAGTAAACTGCATAGGGGTGATGGAGGGCAGGTACAACGTAGTGCATGTGTGACAAAACCAATATCCAACATACAGTTGGGGGGTTGTTTGCAGACTGGGAGATGCGGCTGGGGAATGGCTGTGTAGTTCTTTGAGTGTTTGTGTTATCACGTGTGCTTGCATGTAGTCATAGGTAGATGTAGTCAGAGCAGGCTGTATAGGAAGCTGTCGGGAGGCAGTAATCCATGTGGACACTAATGCAGCATCCTGTTGATTCCCCCAGGAATTTTGACCCAGTCCCAGGTGTTGATAGCTGCAAACTTTTCCTGTAGTAGAAACTCCAGATAGATAGTCACAGTTTGTGTAAGGGTACATTTTTCTGGGCACATCTCTGTAGGACACCCGCCCACTCCACTTGGAGATGTACTGCTCAATCACCATCAACTTGAAAACCCCTATGCCATACATGGCTGGCTTTCCACCAGCAGCTTGGAATAGAATGTCCCTTTGCCATTCAAGAAACTCCAAGATTGTTATGTCCTCCAGAATGTGGAATGCCTGAAAGGATAGAGAACGCTTAGGTAGTAAACCACAGGCCACCTCCCCACAGCATTTGTAAATTTTATCTTGTGTTCACTCTTTTAACTTTGATTAACTCGGTTGTGTTCATGGAGCTTCTGGGCACCGAAGCATTCCTCTAACAATATACTGAATCAGAGTTTTATAAAGTATCATTTTTGGCCTTGAAATTCCACAGGCCCTTTTCTCAGTGAAGGCACTGAACCTTGTTTGAAGTACTGAGACAATTGGAAAACTGTTCCCAGAAAATAGTTATCAGTGGTTTACTGTCAAGCCGGACGGACATATCGAGTGGTGTCCCGCAGGGATCAATCCTAGTCTGGTTCTGTTCAATTTCTTCATCAATGATTTAGATAATGACATAGAAGGCACACTTATAAAGTTTGTGGATGTTACCAAGCTGGGAGGGGTTGCAAGTGCTTTGGAGGATAGGATTAAAATTCAAAATGATCTGGACAAACTGGAGAAATGGTCTGAAGTTAATAGGATGAAATTCAATAAGGACAAATGCAAAGTGCTCCATTTAGACAGGATCAGTCAGGTGCACACATACAAAATGGGAAATGACGGCCTAGGAAGGAGTACTGCGGAAAGGGATCTGGGGTTATAGTGGATCGCAAGCTAAATAGGAGTCAACAGTGTAACACTGTTGCAAAAAAAGCGAACGTCATTCTGGGCTGTCAGCAGGAGTTGTAAGCGAGACACAAGAAGTCATTCTTCCACTCTATTCAGCACTGGTTAGGCCTCAACTGGGGAATTATGTCCAGTTCTGGGCACCGCATTTCAGGAAAGATGTGGATTAATTAGAGAAAGTCCAAAGGAGAGCAGTAAAAATTACTGAAGGTCTAGAAAACCTGATCTATGAGGAAAGATTGAAAAAAATGGGTTTGTTTAGTCTGGAAAAGAGAAGACTGAGGAGGACATCAATTTTCGAGTGCATAAAAGGTTGTTACAAGGAGGAGGGTGAAAAAATTGTTCTGCTTAACCTCTGAGGCTAGGACAAAAAGCAATAGGCTTAAACTGCAGCAAGGAAGGTTTAGGTTGGATATTATAGGGTTACCATTCGTCCGGATTCTCCCGGACATGTCCGGCTTTTTTGAGTTAAAAATAGTGTCCGGGGGGAATTTGTAAATGTCCGGAGTTCCCCCCCCCCCCCCCCCCCCGCGAACCGCGGCGCCGGGGCTACCGCCCCGGTCGGGCCACCCGCACGGGGCTCCGACAGCCAGAGCCCCTCCTCCGCTTCCCCCTCCTCTCCCCTGCAACTTGAAATCACTCCCCTCCTCTCTCTCCCTCCCTCCCCCTCCCTGCATTCGCAGATCGCCGGCCGGCCGTTCGCATCGGGCCTCCGGCAGTCTGGAGCTCTTCCCCCTGCTCCCTCCGCGCTGCCCAGCGCGCCGCTCAACAGCACTCTGAGCGGCACGGTAAGGGGGCCAGGGGGTCGGAGAAGGGGCAGGGAGGTTCTGGAGGGGGCAGTCAAGAGACAGGGAGCAGGGTTGGATGGGTCGGGAGTTCAGGGGGGTCTGTCTGGGGGTGGGGGTGTGGATAAGCTTTTGGGCAGTCAGGGTACAGGTAGGGGGTAGGGTCCTAGGGGGGCAGTTAGGGCAGGGGGGGGTCTCAGGAGGGGGCAGTCAGGGGACAAGGAGCCAGGGCCGGTTCCAGGCACCAGCTTCTCAAGCAGGTGCTTGGGGCGGCCGTTCCGGACAGGGGCGGCAGTTCCAGGTATTCGGCGGCAATTCAGCGGAGGGTCCCTCACTCCGCCTGGGAGTGAAGGACCTCCCGCCGAATTGCAGCCGCAGATCGCGATCGTGTCTTTTTTTAGATCGCGATCGCGGCTTTTTTTTGTTGGTTTTTTTTTTTGGTTTTGGCTGCTTGGGGCGGCCAAAACCCTGGAGCCGGCCCTGCAAGGAGCGGGGAGGCTTAGATAGGGGGTGGGGTCCTAGGGGGCAGTTAGTGGCATGGGTCCCAGGAGGGGGCAGTCAGGGGACAAGGAGCAGGGGGTGTTGGGGGTTCTGAGGGGGGCAGTCAGGGTGGGAAGTGGGAGGGAGTGGATGGGGGCAGGGCGGGGGCAGGGCTAGAGTGGGGCTCCCCCCCCTCCCCCAGTGTCCTCTTTTTTGATTGTGGAAATATGGTAACTCTAGGATATTAGGAAAAAACTTCCTAACTGTCAAAGTGGTTAAGCACTGGAACAAATTGCCTAGGGAGGTTGTAGAATCTCGTCATTGGAGGATTTAAGAACAAGTTAGACAAACAGCTGTCAGGAATGGTCTAGCTACTATTTAGTTCTGCCTTGAGTGCAGGGGACTGGACTAGATGAGGTCCCTTCCAGTTCTACACTGCTACGATTTGATGTCTGCTTTCAGCCTGTGCAGGCCCTTGTGCAGCTTAGCCATACTTCAGCAGGACCCTGGGATTTTGAACCGTCAGAGAGCAGTCCAAGAGGATGTGTTTCCATGATGTGAAAGTATGGTGGACATTCTAGACAGGGCAAACAAGCAGGTGCAGTACCCACGCAAAAAGGATTCATGGCAAGGGGAAAGGCACAGACAGGTTGCAGAGCCTGAGGACAGAATTGCAGTGCATGAGAAGAGGCTGGCAGTGCAGTTTGTGGAACAGGAATGTTGCTTGAGGGAGAAAGAGAGAGTGCTCCAGAAAGACCCGTTTAAGAGGCTCCTGCTGCACCCCCACCACATCCTGAGTCCCCTACACAGTACCATATGCCGCAGGCCAGGAACACATTGGACAATTCCATGGCTGAGTGGCCCAACTGGGACAACACTAACTGGACAGGGCAAACGTAGCTCCTACTGGCCTCCACCCCCATGCAGTGGCTCTAAGTATGTGCTAAACACACAAGAAAGGGAGAGGAGATGAGGGGGCCAGAGAACTTGCAAAAGTAGGGAATTTATTTGTTGGCCCTGGTTTCATTGTTTATACTATTCACAGGGTTTTCTTTATGCGCTTTGTTTTATGATTGGCTTTGGCATTGGTTTATTACTGGTGTTTTGGTGTTGCAATGACAGCTGGCCTGCCTGACAATGCTTTAATGTTGCTTTTTTGTAATACAGTCATAAGAAAAGGCTTTTATTTCATTCATAAAGTTTTTACCATGATTGCATCACATCATATAATGTGTATTTTTAATAAGAATGATAAAAACATGTAAAGTGCAACTGAGAAGTTGCATCCAAATGCACTTTCTCAATACATCTATTCTGATCAATCCACAATGAAAATCCACAGTTCATGTCACACCGACCATTGTCCCCCACCATTATATTAACAGTTGTCTCATCCACAATTAACAATTCCTGACAATTAACACCCCCCCATTCTTAGCATACAGTGACAGTACTTCATTTACTGGGAAAGCTGCTGCACAAATACATCCATAAACATACTATTTTCCATCTTCCATTGCCCAGGGAAGTCCACAGTGTGGGTATACAAAGCATCCCTGATTTCTGTTGCCCGGGTGCATCCTGCTCCAGCTATGACAGGTACACTCAGCCAGGAAATGCATCGGTTCAGCAACCCATTACTGTCACAGGGCCACCCAGGGACAAATGGCCCACCTTTGGAGTCACAAAGATTGTGAAGAGCACAGCAAGACACAGTAATGCAGACAGCATTGATGACATTGGAATCCAAACGGTTCTGTAAACAGCATCAGATTTCAATCTGCCAAACGCACATTCAACCACCTTTCTACACCTACTGAGAGCATAATTAAACACTTTTGCCAGGGCCTCTGAGATCAGGGTATGGTTTTATACGCCAAGGCAAAAGGGGGTACGTGGGGTCCCCCAGAATAACAGTGGGGATGGTTACTTCATGTCTGACAATGTCATTTCCTGGGAATAGTGTCCCAGCCTGACTATAAAGGTAGACTCCTGATCAGTGGGAAACCCTGGTGTCATGAACGTTTCCATACATTTACCTTTGTGGTCCACAAGGCCCCGCATAACAATGGAGTAGTACCCTTTGTGCTTCATGTACTCATGCTCCTTGAGGAGGGCAAACTATGGGCACACGAGTCCCATCAGTGGCTCCAGTGCAGTTTAGAAACCCCATTCTTTGAAAACCAGCAATTACTTCAGGGATATTATTTATGCCCACCACTCCTGCTTGCCTTAAAAACCTCCACCAACACCTCACCCACAGTTGACTTTCCATGCCAAACTGATTAGCAATGGACCTGCAGCAGTCTGGGGTAGCCAGCTTCCAGATGGTTATAACAACCCATTTCTGGACTGCATGTCCATCCTCAT